CTTTCCCAACACATAGAACCATATCTTGGGACAGTATGAAACCTGCTGATTCAGCTTGAAAAGACTATAGTAAGACACAAGCTGTAACTTTAGCTATGTGAGATTATTAGTACACTTAACCGTTCCTTCTATTCCATTACTGTAAGTGGGGGGGAAAGTGAATTTGAAAAGATGAACTGAAAATGACAGTACCATTATACACACCATTAGCACTGTACCATTTTAGAGAGGTGAATTACCAGCTGATGACAAAAAATATCATCATGAAATTTTAATACACGGCCCTGTTGTGGCTACTTAATGATATGCTCCTAGCAATTTTAAAAATCCGTTTCTGCTTGAAAGCAAAAGTAATTTCACAGAAGTGTTCTCTACTGGAATATGCTCATGTTTCTCAAGATAATTCCACTCTAAGTGCAGGCATACTGAGCAAGCAGAATTGTGTACAACATCTTCAACTGAAAACCTTTACAAATAGCCTATTTCTCATGACCAAACAAGCTCAATATGCCCCACGTTTTTTAGGTGGTAAATACCCAATTCGTATACCTCTAGATGCTTACTAAAGAGTAGAAGTGTGTGTAAGAAAAGGCTGTGCATTATCAGAAGCTATGTAACCATGTATTTTGTGGTTTTGGTAAAGGCATTAAGCTTCTTAAGATATTTTAACATTTGTTTTGTGACAGTTCTTCACGCTCCTTCATTTCCGGGTTAGTTTTACTTATTTGCTTAATACTCTAGAATGATTAATTGGTAGCTCAACTTTCTAAAGGAGCTAGGAGCTGCACTGCTCCTCCACACTCACTTCTGAATTCATTAGCCAATTCTATTAAAGTTTTTACAGAGAGGGCCTCAATTATCTCTGAAGTCATCTCCCCAGAACTTTTTATAAAAAGTGGCAAAATACGTATGGAGCAAGATCCAAATTAATGTATTTAAGAAAGAAACACCTATAGCACAGCTGTTAACAGCACACAGCACCTTTTCCCCAGGTAACAGCTAGCAAACGTTAGAGGAAGACAGAATGCTGAGGGAGGAAAAAGTCTTGGAATTATAGAAATTGCCACAGTTTCTGAAATGCAGTGCAGGGGCAAAGCCATAATAAACCAGATTTCGTAAGTTTCAGTATTCAGCGAACAACTTGTTTTCCCTGTCACTAAATAATATAAAAAACAGAATGGATGTTAAGGTCTTGCTGGTAGTTTTCTATGACAGAAAAGAAACACCCTTACCTCTCCACTAAAAAGTCTGTGAAAGAAGCCTCTCTTTGGTTTAGGAGACCTCTCTCTCTCTGGTGACACAGTACCATCAGTTTCATATGCGTTGATATCTTCGAAGCATCCCGTTTCGATCATCTTTGAAACATATAAATATAAATGAAATACTCACACAAGCCTCTCAAACAAGTTCCATGTATTATCTATTTACTCTGGCTGGGTACTCCTTACAACTTACAAATTCATCAGCCAAACTACACCGTTCGCAGAGCTCCATGAAGGAAGGCACAAAGTCTACGTTAACTCTCCTTGTGCACCCAGTGAACTAAAGAATAGCAGTGAGAGCAGTATCATGCAGGTAAGTACTCAGATACTCCCTTGCTTTGGTAAGGCATGTATTCTGCCCACGATGCAGTAAGTGGAAGTTTTTAGAACCAGAAATAGATATTCTTTTCAACTATTCTGCTCGTTTCAGAGCAGTCTAGCCTAAAAAATATAGTATCTCTATACCCTCAGCTGAACTTTATATAAACATGACATTGAGTAGGAGAAATTATTATTCTATGCAGAATACTAGTACCTACATAGTATTAGGGGGTGTACTTTTTACAAAGAGGACAAATTGCACTCTCAAGGAAAAAGCAGCTGATGTCTGATCACAGTAATTTAAACATCATTCTGGTGTTTTGGGCAACCGTCTATCAAAACACAACTAACATATACTATAATTAGAAATAAGGCAATGAGATAAAGACGGTGATATAACTCATGGAAAAATAAAAGGATATAGTGAAGACAGGTCTCTGGAAAGAAGCAAGGGATTTTGAAATAAACTGTGTTTGTGTACACAGAAAACAAAAGAAACCCACAATTTCTGGGTGCAGAAAAGACAGTAGAAAGAGTAAATGCCAAAATGTAACACACGGGCATGGTGGCTAATGCCCACATGTAGTTGGCATCTATCTGTGAGTACCACTGATACACATCTATCATAATGGGCGTGCAAACAAATGAGTACACCTTCTAGAGGGAGGGAGGGCATAAAGAGGAACAAGAAACGCAGTCAGCTTTTGTTGTGAACCATGACATGAGGTAAATTATGGAAGGCAAGGAGGAATTCTTAAGAGACTGAGAGCAAAGATTTGAGGGAAAGCTCAGTAACATGAATTAAAAGAAAAAATAAGAACAAATGTAAAATGAACTCTGCAGAGTTATTCCTTGAAGAGAAAGAATTACCATCTCCAGAATTCCACAACTTTCAACTTTATCCCTGTTGTGTGAGGTTAGAGTTAAGCTGCAGTATATTTTGTAATGACAGATCATATTCTGAAGTTCAGAATTACAACATAGCATAGGAAATATTCATTTCTCCAACCGCCTAAGGTTCGTTGCTTCTTAATGAAGACTTTCTTTGTCAAATGACACCTTTCAAATCTCCTTCTTAATGTAATGCAAAAAAAAAAAGCAAAAGGGAAACAAAAGGCAATGTACTTTTTTCTCTGACTTGTTCAGAAATTGCTCATCTTCTGTGTTCAAGCTTTAATTAAAAAAAAACATACTGGGAAAGAAACTATGCTAGTAGAATTCAAGACAATACTAATTTCAGAAAGTTATGAACATCTTATAATAGGGAAAGTCATTCATACCAAGAACTACATTTCAAAATAATTGTTACTGAGTGCTCTTCCTGAAATAACAAAGAAGATTTGAATTTCCTAAATACAGACTGAACTGCAGGCAGAGGTAGCTAAATTCTAGTACTCTATGCAGAATACTAGAATACTCATTCACTAGGCAGATGAAAAAGCTTTAAGAGAAAGTCTGACTCAACTGATGCTGAATTGTTTGTTTTGAAACGTTTGAAAAGATGAATCTGCAGTTCTTTATTGCTACGTCACTCGCATACATTCTATTGATGTACAGGCATGACACACGAACAGCTTGCACTGCGCCTATTTGCTTTTAACTACTTTGAACAGCGTTTTATCCCTCTCCCGTGAACACCAGGATGGAATAACATGTGACAGAAGAACAGGAAAGTGTGGTCATACTAATGCTAAATACTGTTCTGTAGGCTGTATCTATGATAACAAGATGACAGATTCTATTTATGCAAATTTATCATAGATCTCGAGTTTTAGCAAGTTGTTTATATTTTGGGAAAAACTTTTTCCTGAAGTTTGTGCTTTAGACTTCTTTGCTGAGAAACTTCTTTATATCTCACAGAGAAAGTTGACACTATAACTAGGTCCTGTATTAATTCTTCTATATTGCTGTGCTAAAGAAAATAATCTTTTATAAAATATACAATGCAATACCTCATTTTGCCAAGGAATTGAGACACAACCCGTAACAAATTTGGAATAGAAGTCGTCATCTGTAGTATCCAGGTTCACTCCTTTTACTGTTGAGAACTGCTCTATGTCCAGGACATCTTTACAATATACGGCACGTGGCTGCAGTACAATACAAGATTGCTTCATTAAGGTTTTGGTTACTGGGTTTGGGTGGTTTGTTTTTTTGGGGGGAGGGGGTGGCTTTGTTGTATTTTCATTTCTTTCCTAGAGGAGCAAAGAGGGAGTGAAACATCTGCAATTTTATATTTCACATCGCCGATCACCAAATTACACTATACTACGGAACAGAAATGCAAAAACTTAAGACTCATTATAAGGCACGTGAGCAATTCCATCCATCCTGCAGTATCAGAAAAGAAGTATCAAAACCAGAAACAATATGCAACTTCTCTGGATTTCTTAATGGTCATCATAATTCACTCATCTTCTGTAACCTTCCTTTCAACTCCAGAGTAATTTCTTCAAGGCTAATCTTCATTTCTTCAGCATCTGAACTGGGGAAGTAGACTTTTAAGGGCTAAGAAATCATCTATAAAGCTCCCTAGAGCAATACCACTTTTGTAAACCGTTTTGTGATCCCAGACGAAATGCAAAAAACAATTATTCATCAATAGCTACAATGGCATTTTCCTGCCAATTTAACTAACGTTAAAGTTTTCTCTGGAGTTCACATGATTGCTGACATGGAATTATGACAGTTCTTGCCTTTTTAGATACTAATCAAATCTGTCTCACCTACTTACATCTGGCAAGAACGGAGGTTCTAACATGTTAGCTTCCAGCCTCTTGAAGTTAATATTCTTGAAAATAGGATGTTGCTTTACAATAGCAGCTCCATCTTCAGTGCAACCCAGTCGTTCCCCTGGATTTTTAGCAAGTAACTGCAAAGATACAGAAAAACGGTCTGATCCAGTGATCTAACCCCACAATTAAAAAAAAAAAAAATCTACGTACAATGTCTTTCAATAAGTTTATTTTGTTACTTGGCCTTTTATGAGATGAAATTTGTCGTGGTATCAAAATGAACTGGAAATCCAAACTACAACATTCTGGGAGCAAAAAGATTTTCAGTAGACAAAAGAATTCCTGAAAGCAGACTATTACTTATTCTAGGACTGAGATGATACCCAAAATTATATGAAAATATTTTAATTGATGCCACGCTAAATAGATTTTACAGTACAGAATTTGCAGCAGACTTTACTTTCAGGAAATCCAGACTTACTTTTCTTTCAATGAGCTTAAGAAATGCACGTATTTTGCATAAACTAGGATAGAAAATTTTTGAAACTTTCTGTACAGACATTCTTCTCATTAAATTTAAGAACACGGAAGATAAAAGAAAGCTGTTGTCTCGTACAGACTGTTTTAGGCAAGGAACCAGTATACAACTTCCATTTCTCCCCATAGAGTATGAAAGCCAAGTGTGCTATGGTATTCCATCTATAACTACATGTGGTCCAAGGAGTACTGGAACTTTTCATTCATGTGATGAGAAATCAATTTATGCAGCCTTCCTTCATCTTGAAAAAGTCTGAATTCTTGAAGTTTGGTAATTGAACAATTCACAGACAATCACAAACTTCCATCTGAACGAAAGAAAGATTTAAGAACTCCAGCTTTGAAAAATTTTCAATAGAAGACGTTAAAATAAAGTAGTTCATCTCTTAAAAAGGATTAGAAATTTAATTTTCAAACCTCTAAGTCTCTTCACCCACCATCCTGCAGATGGATTTTGCCTCCTCTGAGAACTTGTCTGAGTATGTTTCCTGGTCTTCCTTTACTCTCCGGTCAATCTCATCCCGTTTGACCCTTTCCTTATGCTTCCTGAATGGAGACTGTCCTTCAATCATTTCATAAATCAAGCACCCAAGACCCCACCAATCCGGGCTGAATGTATACTTTTCATTTTTGAGCACTTCTGGAGCTATAAAACAAAACCAAAGAAACTCTCATCTCAATTTACTTTAAATTAAGTAATTAAATATTGAAAAAACTCTCATGTGTTCTTCTGGCTCTGTGCAGAGATCTTTGCATAACTCCTCTGTACTCTGAAGAAACCTTAATTTCTACAGTGAGGAGTCTGTTTATATCCAAGAGAAGCACTTAGATTCTTTAACATTTAAGATCAGTATTGTTTACAAACTAAGAATGAAGTTTTTCCAAAGCATGGAAAGAAATGTGTTGTCACGGTAATTCATCTCCTTACCTGTGACCCTAAATCTCTTTGAATGTCAGAAAAAAATAAGGTGCTATCTTAAAGTTCTATCTAAAGCTAGAATTTCCAGAGTTAAGTTTTCAAGTTTATCAGTAGGCTTATAATTGACTACGAACATCTACCATCGCATATTGTAACCTTCCTTTCCATATAACGTCTAGTAACTAATCCAGACCCAATATAGCTCTTTGGACAAGTCATTCATACATTCCCAGAAGCAAATTTTCTGGTAAAACATAACTAGCAAAATATACTTTACATACCCATGTAACCAACAGTCCCAACCCGTCCTCGAACCATTTCTCCTTCTGGAATCTGCACAGCTAATCCAAGATCTGAAATTCTAATATGTCCTATTGATGTTAAAATAAATTGCAGATAGTCAGCAAATAATAAAATATCACCACTTTTAAAACAAAAAATTTCTGTAGCATGTCTCATCAAAAAAACTCCTCAAAGCATTCAAAGACCTCTAGTACAATGTTTATTTAACTTAACTAGAAAGGAGTGATTTATCATTATTCAACCTCCCTTAAATACGTAAAGGAAAAGAGACACAGATCTAACTGGTTTCCTGAAGGTCATGCAAAATATTTTGCTGTTTAGTAATCTAATTCCTAGCTATGGCATAGGCTACTACTGTAGGACGAAGAGAAACGATGGCTGCTCGTTTCAAATGCTGTATCTATGCATCAGACACTTGTATTTTTCCATTCTTTATTCCCTCCACAAACACTTAGCTTTCTGATTTCCTAACAAAACATCAGAATTTACTGCGTTTATTCCAAATATGAGAAAACTGTAGCCTGTACTGAGACATGAGGTTTTCCTCTCACGAAGTACCCGAATAACGCTAAGCAGAAGTAATTGGAACTGCTGCCTCCACTCCTACCCCAAAAGAAAAGCAGCCTAGCCACAACCTACTTAGAATTACTTATAATGTAATCTGTCAGTTCAATACCAGGATTTCCCCTTCTCAGGAATCAGTCTAATGTAGATAACTTCAGCTTCTATTTCACTTTACAAGCCAAACTTCTCAAATTGACTGCCTTTCTTATCATGCATGGCACTTACATGACTGCCTATAATGTAGAAGCAGTCTGGTGGAAGGCTATGATTGTCACCAACAACAGTGCTCAGGTGGGGAAACAGTCCAAGAAGGGCAACTCCACCCTCCCTTATATTCCCATGGACAGATATAGTTCTTTTCTGAACAGTAAGCTATTCAAGGCAGTTCAAGCTAATTGACATGATTCTAATTTAAAAATACATAATGTACTTTCTTAATAAAAATATAAAAAGCTAGACAATTGTATTGACATGATTCTAATTTAAAAATACATAATGTACTTTCTTAATAAAAATATAAAAAGCTAGACAATTGCATTTTCAACTCGATTTTAAAACAGAAAATTGCTGATCATCTGTAGTAGAAAGATTCAGGGTGAACAAACCAAACCAAAACCCACACATTTCTAATACTGGATTATAAGGATTATAAGGACACTGTTGTTTACAGAAACATCACAGAGTCACAGAATGATTCAGGCTGGAAGGGACCTCAGAAGGTCTCTAGTACAACCTTCTGAGCAAGCAGTTAGCACAAAGCGTTCAAGGCTTTCTAAATTTTTGTCTAGAAAGATTCCAAGAGGGGATACTGCATCACCTCTCCGGGCAGCCCGTTCCAATGCCCGAGTGTCCTTTCTGCATATATTCTCTGCCATTCAAAAAAGCTCTACATCAATGTAAATTAATAGCATATTAATTTCTTATTTACATGTGCTAGGTAATCAAGGGGTGGGGAGAGAGAGTAGAGAAAGTAAAGTGCCATTCTATATCCTGGTTGGAAATAATGCTCCTGAGCAGTAAATGCTATTTTAAATACATTCAGATGCTCTTCTATTTCCTGACATCTGATGAACTCCTTTTCAAGTGCAGGACCTGAGCTCCTGAAGCGATTTTCTAATTAGTTCCCTCTGCTTTCTGGAACAAGATCAGAGCATCCCTGGCAGAGAGAAAGCATTCTAGTGCAATCCTGCAAGGCTACATTTTTCCTCAAAGAAGCCTTCAGCTTTGCAAGACATTGCTGGAGAGAAAAATTAAAGAATGCATTTGATGTCTAGCAAAGCTTTAGCTCTTGGAAAGTGACTTCTCCTAAGCATCATCTTCTTAGAAATTTATCAGTCAGAACATGCCGACTTTAAAAAGAAAAATTGTGCTAATGGATTCAAAACCAGCTTTTTCTTAACTAAATACTCAGCAATTACAGGAACAAACTGGTAATATTCATCCACAGCTTAGAAGAAGGTAATTGCTGCACATGTTCTACAGTGAATTCAAAAGATTCTGATAAATTTCATACAAAGTCATTGAAGAAAATTAATTTGGCTTTTGAAAAACAAAAAACTACAAACATTTATTCATATTGTTTGCACTTCTTTGATTCCTTCCAGTCACATATGCATCAGTGACCATCAGACCTGTTTTAGTCGAAATGTTAAAACAAACAGAGATACTTCAGATTTGTTTTCTTCTTTATTGCTTAAACATTACAGTTTACTAAGTAAAATTCTGGCCCCACATCTAACAAATCATGTTTTCAGAGCTGAAGAAAAGACAAACGGAGAACAAATCCATACAAAACTTTAGCCATCTTAAACCAAGGGGAAGGGGAGAAGGAGGAGCAAAAGGGGAAAAATAGCCATTTTAAGGTGGGAAATTGACCCCTCAAACATCATCATCATTGTCCCCTAAAGACCCAGTATTTTTCCCTACTTTCTAAAAAGCAAAGGCAGTTTTTTCTTTACTAATTGAAATTAACATTTGTCAGTCGGATTCCTTTTATTATGAAGAAATCCCTTTGATTTCTGGCACAGTATTAGTTAGATTCATGATTTCAAAATTAATTTTAATTTTTACTTACCACAGTCATCAAGGAGGATATTCTCAGGCTTCAAGTCTCTACAAATTAAACCAAACAGAAATGTGAATTATACAAAGGCAAAATTATTTGCCATCATCAAGCGCAACTGAAACAAACTAAGATTTCTTGGTGCTGTTTAAAGTGATTTTTCCAGTTTCCACCTATATACAAAAAAAAATTGTGAAGTTGAGGACATATAATACAAACACTTTAACCCTAGAACTTGAGATCCATTTTTTCCCACCTCTCTAATCCATCTATATTAACAACTGCAATTCGTATTTCACAGATGAGGAACCTTCTCTACACAACACTAAAATTCTGATATGCAGAACTACCAACTTACACCCAAATTTGTGCTCATAAGTGAAAGACATTTCTCCTGAGATTATCAGCCATACAACTCCGCAATGGTAAAACACATCAGTGTTTGCTGCAGTTTGACACTGACCCCTTGCTATATTCCATCCCAGGGTGTCAGAATACCAACAAAGAATAACATTCCCAAGACTAAGCATAGGCTTAATATAATCCATTCAAATTCCATTCGTTTAATTTGGGCATGCAGCTTCTAAAGCTTATTAGACACTTCATCTAGTTAGGATTCTTTCCAATCAACTTTCTAAGAGTCTCTACTACTTTCCTGTAAACATCGAAGTTTGACGGGAAACATTTTTTTGCTATTAAATGCTAGCAAGACTCAGGAAATAGTAAAAGGTCAATTCATTCAGCATTGCAATTTTGCATTTTATAGGCATCTTCCTGTATATTTTTACTTTAAGAACAAAAGAAGAAATTCAATGGGATATTTAGATTTTTCCACATCAAGGAAAATTTGTTAAGTCACTGAAGCTGAATGAGAAGCTGTTCAGAGGTTACTTTTAGGATTTATCCTCTAGCAGATTCTACTGAGAACATATATATTTATACGTATGTATAAAATACATATATATACACGGAATATATGTATAAAACGTATAATATATATAATTGTGATATGCATCAGAAAGTATGTAGATTGCAATAATAACTCTTAGATTTATTCCACTATAAATAATATAAGGCCAGAAATAGACAAGCAAAAAATCAGTACTTGGCTGAAGATTCAGTTATTATTGGTAGAGATTATTAAAACCAGTATGTACATATATGGCTACATGTACAGTTGTGACAAGAACAGTTATTCATATACAAGCAGAAAAGATTGAATAAAGTAAAAGAAGCAATTTTAGGAAGAATTTTTCCAGAATTTACATTCAAAATGAGAGAAAAATATACACACATGCTTGCTCACCAAGAAATTTGTATGCTTTTTTTTCCCAAAATATTGATAAATTGATGCTCTGAAGTATGTATATTCGTGTTAAAGTTTCATTATTTCATGAGATTAACTGTATAAAGAAGTCAGCAAGACACTTTCCTCCTAATACTTTTAAGCTTAGACAGTCCCCATAATATTAATCATTTGACATTAGATATGAGATTACAATACCAGAGAATTCAGGAGATCCAAGTAAAACACTAAAAAAACCAACCCAAACACCAGTATCGAAAAAGAAAATTCAGCTCAAACTTTAGGTAGCAACACATCTACTTTAAAGTACACAATATACGCTCAGGTTAAATCAAGTAAACAGGTTTAGAGAGTTCCATCTCCAAGAAGGCTGATTAAAGCCTAACCTAAAACCTAATAGTTACTAGCAACTCCTGCTGCCTAATAGAAGCTAATTCTGTTCTGACACGATTTTGGTCTGTCAATAGTAAAACTTGTTTGTAGCCAAAATTCCAGCTCTTTAATGCTATTAGTTTCTAGGCCTAGCAGTTCTCAAAGAAGTCAGCTTTTGGAAGCTTTCAGCTATAAATTCTAGCTCTGGGATGCTAGCTTTGGGGTATCAGCCTTCTCCCACCACGACAGAGGCCAGCGTCACAGTTTCTGTTAGAACACACAGATGCTAGTCCTGCATTGGACAACGGGCTACTTGAGCTGAAAACCAAGCTCAGAACAAGAGCTAGTAACACAATTCTAGCAACAGAGGCAGCAGTTTTCCCTTACGAAGCAGAGAAAGGCTGGAGGACTGCAAAGCTCACAAAACTAAGAGGTTCATTAAAAAAAAGTTAGATAAAAAAATATTTATTTATGCTAAATTGGACTAAACACGCACTGGTCTATTTTTGCTACAGGTTACACCAGCCTTCCTACGGAGAAAATTTCACTGTAAAGATATCTACTCTGAGCATAGGCACAAGGTAGGAAAGGAGCTACTTGGTTTATCCACTACAGCTTCTGTCTTTGAGCCTGATCTTTGACCTTCCAGGCACAGTCAGTGGCACTATGGGCACCTACGTGACTTTGTGAGGAAAATCTAGGTATCCGAGCTTACATGGTAAAACAACACTACCAGTCTTGAGGAGTCAGGTAACTCTTGCAGGGAAACTCCAGCAATTAAGTCCCTTTTGCAAAGCAGTCGCTTGTTCCCTGTCTGTCTTATGCAAATCCTGACCTTGCTCTAAGTGTTATCAGACTTTCTACGTAGCAGATGGATTAACAGCTCCACTACTGCCTGTTCCTGACTGTTTGCTTATTTACCTAATGTCAGCAACATATGGCAAGTTACAGACAGTTTCACAAGCAAACTACTGAAACAAGCAAACTGGCTCAGTCGCTCTCACAGGGCAGCGCAGGGCCCTCCTTCCAGCTCTGCACCTGTTCTTCTAATCCAGCAGGAAACCCACTACCAGAATGGCACAACTGACTCCAGAGTCCTCCAGACAGCACTAATGTTGCTGCTTCAAATTCAGTAATAACTGATATAAAGACACATGAAACACACAATAAAAATTGCTGTTAAAGGAGAGGAAAGTTAGGCCTAGTTTTCTACTTTATGAGGTGTTTTGCTACTGATGGTGACACATCCCAAATTGAATAAATTTATAATAAATTTTAACATGACTGAATTACATTAAAACTGCCATTCTAGAACTGAACAAACTGACAAGATGATCGATTTTACGGCTTTCTGCTGACAACTGTTTGCACTGAGGATATTCTAGTTTCAGAAGTTCTGAATTTCCCTTCTTATAACTTCACCATGAATAGAGATGAATGGCCACAAAAACACATTCTTAAGAATGTATTTTATAATAGTATGTTTCAAAATTGAAGTCTGCTTTAACAGCTTAAACATTTGTCTAAAAAGAGAGTTTAAAATTCCTCTTTTAAAGCTTGAAAACAAATGCAGTAATAGATCTTAAGGTATGGCAACAAGAAAAAGAACTAGCTCCAATTTCAGAAATTCAGTGCTCCTACCAGTATTAAATGCTTTCAAAATGACAGCAAAATAATATAAGCAGTCTATATTTTTTTTCCCAAGAGAATGAAAAATATTACTTATCATAATTAGAAAAAAAATCACTGAATCAATGAAAATGTGCTTCATTGTGTTCTCCCCCCGCACCCCCATATTAAGACTGGAGGTTGCCAACATAACATCTTTGGTGAGAATAAAATAATTACGGCAAAGTTTCCCAAGCTTTCTGTTTCATTAATCACATACAATCATCGTATGGCTGCTTAAATGCATTTCCATTAAGATGCCTGAGAGACAATTTTGATCATGTAACATATCACTGTAATTGGTGACATTCTGAAGATTTCAGTGACCACCGGGTTTTGGCTTCTTGACTTTAACACTGTAAATTTTACAACT